TATTGGACTTGTATAAATGACTCTTTGCTTGTTTTTTAAACTTTGAGCAATAGCATATTCTGCGACAACAGTCTTACTGCCGGAAGGATCCAGGAAAAAACTATTTCTAGCATCTAAAATAGCACCAACGATTATTACACCATTCTAAAAGATTTCGCTGGCCAATCAGATTTCAAGATCAGGTGTAACGTAAAAGAAACGCGAAAAATCAAAACAAACCTTCATAGCGATAGCGCACTAACAAAAAGTTTTTTTCTTGCGAAATTTTGATATTAAAAAAAAAAGCTTCTTTTAGTCTAACTTAATAGCAAAACCTAACATAACAGAGAAATTTCTTTTAGCGAAATCATAAAACCAAATTCGCTTTATGTTCATAGATGCTAGAATCTCCTACAAAAAATTAAACATTTGATAACAAGAGTTAACAGATTGATTATACAATGAACTCCGAACGGTGGTAGGCCACGGCGACAGGCGTAACCTGACTCACATCTCTGCCTCCTTACACGTGTTCTATGTCGGATCGATTCGGGATATAATCCTGTACGAAATTTTATCCTTAACGTTAATGCTGGCCCAAATTAACCTTAAGCTAGCCCGATTTAGTATTTTTGGTAACATAAAGGTCATGTGCGGCGAACTTCACTTTTAAAAATAACTTTTGATCAGTTATTTTTTTTGAACTGTTTTAAATTCCTATCAATGTTTCCCACGAGTTTTGTTAAGAAGGCAGATATAAAGGCTCCTGAGGTAAACAGCTCTACTTATTATATTAGAAACGAAGCAAGTTACTGAGGTAATTTGATTGAACTTTCAAGGTTCGACACGAAGTTGCCTATGGAAAACTCCCTTATGATTTTTCAAAGCCAGTTGTGAGAACCGGGGTTCCTGCCAGGACTTATCCATTTACGTTGGATCCCTTTCAAGAAAAAGCCATTGCATGTATTGAAAGATTGGAATCGGTATTGGTTAGTGCTCATACTTCCGCCGGTAAGACTGTTGTCGCAGAATATGCTATTGCTCAAAGTTTAAAAAACAAGCAAAGAGTCATTTATACAAGTCCAATA